TAACTGAACACTGACTACTATTACTTAATTATGAAAACTGTCTAACTGATTTTAGAGGAGAACGTACTTGGCTTGGCATTTTGTTCGATGAGTATTCATCATATGATTTATATTTGACGAAATAAAGTTTATTATCTATTCTTTTCTTTTTAAGCATGAAAAGTAGAAAAGTAGTCATCACTTTACTTACTTACTTACTTACTTACTTACTTACTTACTTACTTACTTACTTATGCACTTACTTACTTATGCACTTACTTACTTACTTATGCACTTACTTACTTATGCACTTACTTACTTACTTATGCACTTACTTACTTATGCACTTACTTACTTACTTATGCACTTACTTACTTACTTATGCACTTACTTACTTATGCACTTACTTACTTACTTATGCACTTACTTACTTATGCACTTACTTACTTACTTGCCTACTTACTTACTTACTTACTTACTTATGCACTTACTTACTTATGCACTTACTTACTTACTTACTTACTAACTTAATCCTGTTACCCCAAATGGAGCATAGACCGCCGACCAGTATTCTATAACCTACTTTGTTCTGAGCCTCACTTTCCAATTTCTGTCCAATTTTTGTTCATTCTTCTAATGTCAGTCTCCATTTCTCGGCGTAATGTGTTCCTTGGCCGTCCCTCTTTTCCGTCAGCCTTGAGGATTGCAAGTAAGAGCTTATCTTGTGACGCAGTTGGGTGATTTCGGCTAACCAGTAAAAGTCATCAGTTTAGTACTTTCAAGTAAATATTGCACTATAATGCTTCACTAAATGTAATAAGCTTGAAATGCATAATTGGCAAGATGAATGCTACAAGATAAAGAGAAATTATGTATTATTCTTTTGCACAACACCTAAATAATCATGCTTGACTATTGAAAAGGCTTCACTGTAGCACTGTTGTTAATAAAAATAATACTAATTCTAGACGAACTAAAAGCTTAACTCTGTTGCTTATTTTTAATCAGATATTTTGAAAGGGAATTATTATGTGCTTTATGTGAATTATTAAATGCTTCATTTAAGTCAGCATATCTATTCTAATGAGAATGTGTTTAATATTATTTTACTCATGAAATCTTTCTAAAGACACTTGATGAATAATGCAAATGATTGTTGAAATTTTTGCAGTTGTGACTATAATTAAAATTTATTTTACGGAAGTATCCGATTAATTTAGATGGGCTATCGATTTATGGATGAGTTGATAGTATTAATTCGATGACTGATAGAACTAAACTTCTAAATTATATAAACCTGTTGAGAAATTATTTAAATTCAACCTATTCACTTGATTTTGAGACCATAAAAGTATTTTCTCTATAGGTAACACTTATAACAACGAGCGAGTGAAGTAATAATGTTATATGTGTTTAAGTTTACGTTGATTTTTATCAATAACACATGTTGATTTTTGTCTAAACGATTTGATTTAATGTTTTTCACCTGTTATATATTCCGGAAAGTAAGTAAACGAAAAAAAACCCATTTGTCATACATAAAACATGAATGTGTTAATTTTTAACACATATGGTATTCATCAAGCTACTATGGCTCCATTGTTTGTAGTGAAGAGTCAAGTAAAAATGGCTCCTTACAATGAAGATATATATGAAGTCATAGACAAAGATCATCATCTTCACTTAGTGAATTGTATAATTTTTGATGGATTTCAAATATTATTTGCAGAAATGAGTCATTGTGTATAGATTTATATATTTTGTGAAAAAAAATTAGACAAACATTGTGTTCAACTAGATTAGAGAACAATATCAGCTAAAAGTAGGCATAGTAGTTATTTCACTGTCAATACGCTCAGTCGTTCTGAAAGTCAACGTGAACAAATCCAACACTCAGTTCATGTAGCATACATCTATGGCGAGAGATTCTAAAGTCCTAGATAAGGAAGCCTGTTACCTCCTATTCGACATAATTTCCAGACATTAAAAGCTCCGACATGTAATTTAGTACGAGGTTTCAAGAGACCGGGAATAATGTTTCGTCAGCTCATACCGTTTGCTTCAGTGGCGTGAGTTGATAAACGATCAAAGAAGGGTTGGTCGAGCAGATAAGAGAGTTATTAAGAGGTGTAGAAAGGATTTTGACTTTGACCAGTCTAGTCTCGTGGTGCTTTTATGAGTATGAGGGCGGATGTTACTTCCAGGCTGCCCACACCGTGGGAGGTTGTTTCTTTAGGGACCTGAAAAGGAAGGTAGATTAATGTAGGTCTTAACGACCTAGGAGCGTGACCGCAGAGCACAAGGGACAATTGCTTAAGGCCGGTCAGGCACGTCCTTTTTATGAAAGGATTTTTGATTATTAGCTTTACTCTTTCAAAGCCCTTATTGGGCAGCCCTTACCGACAGAGACGGAAATCCGTGAGGTAGGGTGAGGTGTGAAATTTTTAGCGTCGACCTTTACTAACCTTCCTTCCTTGTGGGAAGGCAGCATCGCTGCAGATGCTGGTTGTCCGAGGGAAACACTTTACTGTTGTCACACCCCTCTGCAGTCAACAGTGCGACTTCGCCTTCGGACCTTAAGTAACTGCTTTTAGTCTCATCGTTCCGCAATCGACCTGCCTGGCATGGTAGAACCTTCAGGAACATGTGTTCCAGCCTATATATCTCGGTCGGGTCATTTCTAAAACAATATCCGCTGAGAACAGATTTCAGTGAACATTCATTTAACATCCTGTTTGAATAAATGGCTTTTGCAACACACACGATTGTTTAGTTCAGAGTTTAACTTGGCATCAACTTTCATCGAATTACAATAAGAAAACAAGTGTTTTTTGTTTCATGACACAAACAAAAATGAATCTCATCTGTAGATAATTAATTACTGACTACCTGCTTATATTATTGATTTATGACACAATTCACTGCAGTGACCAGTTCCATTTTACTCATAGGAATCAATTCGGCATATTCCTGTTTCCATCCATTATCAATAAACACTGTAGAATGATCAAAAATTCACAATATTTCTCATTAAGAATTTCTTCCGGTGAAATTCTTTTTAATTGAAATAATTATCATAGAAATAATAATAATAATAAATGATTATAAAATTCTCAACAATACAAAATTCTTGCCCTCTGAAGTAATGACAATGATTATTCTTGCAAGATTTTCAATGATTCTTTAATTAGTGTCCACATGTACAGAGACTGTAAGTTATAATAACAGAAAACAGCAGGATACACGTAGACATCAATCATGAATGATGATTACATTGTATCTCGTGATGTAGTATTTTCATTCATTACTATAAAGTAGTACATTTACAAAAACAAATAATTTTTTAAAACTAAATACATTTTGATTAAAGTTTTGTTGCTGTTTTCTTTTGGCTTCTTAAAAAAGGCTGTTGGCGTTTTTTTATCAGTGAATCGAAGAGAACTACTACTGCTACGACTACCAATACAGACAAATGTACTGTGTGTATTAAAGTATTAAAGATATAGTTATCAGCTTGTAAAAAAAATAGCATTTGCGCAAATCAGTAGTTTACACTGATCATACATGATTCTAATTGACATGACATTTTGAAAGATAACATGAACAGTAGTGAATAATAGTATGTTTTTTTTTGTCTATAAATCGGATGTATGGTGTAATAATTAAGAATTACTGTATGTTATCAAGAACATTTATCAAGCGAAAATGTGAATCAATGATGTCCAATAAAAATTATTGCTCTTTGTGTATGCTTGTCTAAATAACACAATGATAATTCTTTATCAGGTTACGATTTTAATAGAACTAAACCTGTTTTCGATTAGAACGTATTCTGGCTGCTGAAGCTCTTTTAGTGACCTGGATTCTCTGTGACAACTGCTCTGTGGGATCATGATCTATGCTAGGGTAAAACAACTAACTGATCAGTAGTACCTTTCATTTTGCGCAATTAATGTCTAAACAAAATCAATCCATGGTCTATAAAACTTGACACAACATCCTATAATAGAATTACTTATATGATTATAAACTAGTATTCATTCCGATTTGAAGTACTCACAATGATAATTCTACATTACACCTATGATAAGTGAAAGATTTTATCTTAACTACTCTTTTAATTTTTTTAAAAGTGAAATAAAATGTAAAAACTCTTTCAGTTTGTTTACTGCCACAAGAATAAAGTTTACAGTAAATAATGCCCTACTAACAGATAGGTGACTGAATATTATTTAAATGACATCTGAAGTAATAAATGGATAGAAACTTATGCTAAATCAATAATCTGATTGAATCATTCTCGGTTCGAAAGCTGTATTTAGTGCTGTTTATTAGGAAAACAATAACTGTACAGCAATGATACTGAAATTATGAACTGACCTAAGGTAAATAACTATTGTAAAACAGGAATCCCTGGTAAGTCATTTCGTCCTATTTTGGGGAGGTCCTCAGTATTTGTACACACACAACCTCGTAGGAGACTAGACATGTGACCTGCAAATCTCCCGGGATTTGCCGATCTTAAGGTGTTTAAACCTACGTTTAGTTGTTTACTTGTCCAATATCAGTCAGTTCGTGAAACTGCGACGCGTGACCGCTTCACAACCAACACAGTTGAATTGCATTGGTTAAGGCTTCTCATTCAAGTTCCAAAGTGTTGACTGTCTTGTTTGCCATTTTTTACATTCACCTATGAAATCAGTTTCATTTGATACAGTCATCCATATTCAGAGTTATTATTCATGATATATCAAATAAACCATTTGGTTCTGTCTTCTGAATGATAGGAAGTAATTTTCAAGAATTCATGTGATTTCTTATCATTTTAAATAGGTTATTTAATTCTAACATTATATTTTAGTATTCAGAGAAATATTATTCATCTAGCCTAATTTTTTTAATTTTTTCAGCTTCAATCAAATTCCAATGACCAAACACACACAGATTCCAACTAATCAATGCATGGCATATTAATAACATTCCTTGGAAGTTTGAACAGATTCTATTCAATTGACTGTATCATGTGTTGGGCAGTTATTATTTTCCAATTATTAAGTGTAATGAATTTTCATTCAGTAATATCATATCAAATCAATGAGTTGTTGGTAAACACTTCCAATCCAAATCGATTGAAACGTGCAATGGAATACAACAGTATTGCAGAATTAGATAATCCTCTCACATCGAATATCATGAATATTTTCTTTCGGATTCGTGCTGATAGAAAAGGTTTAATCACATGTGAAGTAAACTCCAAAGAGGTTGATTCTTTCATTAGTACTAATCATACTTTCAATCAAACTCAATCCAATAATGAGTCAATTATTGAAAATAAGCCTACAAGTACGCTTTATTTAATATGCCCACAAGTAAGTTATTTTATGATTAAACTTTACTTTTATGAGTGAAGAGTTGAATAATATCGATTTGTTACAAAAAAACTTGTAATAAGTTAACAGGAGTGGATAGTGGCCAAAAATGGATGTGACTGCATCGCACAGTTCATGTTCGAGACCGGTGAGAAAAGAATAGTCACATTGGAGCACTTTATAAATCAAATTCTCGCCAGTCGCATAAGCTATTGTCTGTCTTAATTTCGATAACCAAGGGATTCACATTTAGATCGTTGTTTGATGTAGAAAGTATTGAGTTTCAGTCTCAGTGTGAGAACATCAACATTGAGATGAAGTTAGATCTAACAGATTAATTACTTACTTACGCCTGTTATCCCCAATGGAGCGTAGGCAGCCCACCAGTTTTCTCCAACCAACTCTGTCCTGGGCTTCCCTCTCCAGTTGGAATCTGGTTTGTTCTCTCTCAAAGTAAGTAGTTGCTGATGGTGTCTGGCCAACGAATACGAAGTATTTTGCGTAGACAACTGTTCATAAACACTTGTATCTTCTGGATGATGCCTTTCGTAGCTCTCAAAGTTTCCGCTCCATACAGTAAAACTGTCTTCACATTTGTATTGAAAATCCTGATTTCGGTTTTGGTTGAATGTTGTTAAGAGTTCCAGATATTTTTCAACTGTAGAAATGCAGCCCTCGCTTTGCCAATCCGCGCCCTCACATCGGCATCCGATCCACCCTTCTCGTCGATGATGCTGCCCAGATATGTAAAGGTGTTAACGTCCTCCAAGGAATCTCCATCAAGAGTGATTTGGGTGGTGCATGTTGTGTCGCATCGGAGAATTTTGCTTTTTCCTTTATGTATGTTGAGGACTACTGCTGCAGAGGCTGCTGCTACACTGGTCGTCTTCTCTTGCGTTTGTTGGTGCGTGTGAGATAGAAGAGCCAGGTCATCTGCGAAGTCCAGATCGTTTAGCTGCGTCCTAGCTGTCCAGTTGATACCGTGCTTCCCTCTAGATGTTGACGTCTTCATAATCCAGTCGATGACCAGGAGAAAGAGAAAGGGTGAGAGTAAGCAACCTTGTCTGACACCGGTCTTCACCTCGAAAGAGTTTGTTAGCTGTCCTTCGTGTACGATTTCGCAGTTGAATCCATCATAAGAATTCCGTATGATGTTAACTATTTTCTCAGGCACCCCGTAGTGTCGAAGAAGCCTCCTTAGTGTTTTCCTATCCACGATATCGAATGCCTTTTCGTAGTCGATGAAGTTGATGTCGAGTGATGAGTTCCATTCAAATGATTTTTCCACAACATCAAACCCATTAGTTCTAAACTATTAGTTAAGATCCAATATCAATAAAAATTCCAATCGAATCAAGATTCCATCTGAAAATTTATCATACACTGTAGAGAAGTTATAAAAAAACGATTGAAAAATGCATCTTTTCCATAGGTTTTTAGTTTTCACTAGTTGGTTGAACAAAGCGCATTTGTTTGTTGTAGCATCATCTATACGCTAACACTGAACTTAATAAACCATTCAATATATATTATAATTGTATAATTAATTTGTTTCCATTAATTCAGCTTTCAACATCCATTTGTTATATGGACTGTAGTCCAAATTGTGTATTAAATGAAAATGGCTGTACAATACCGCCTAGTATTGCACAAGTTATTGAAGGATGTCAATTTAAACGAATCAATGCAAGTACATTCCAATATCAATATGTAATCAATATGGAAGAACTTGATCATACAGGCCTATGGAATTGTGAATATCGTGGTCAACGAGCAGTTAGATCTTTAGAATTACAGGCTGCAGAAACTCCGTCAAGAATCGCAAACAGTGTTAGTAATCATATCCATGGAAACCATACAAACAGTAATATTGATTCTAAACTTGCTAAAGGCACATTCGAAGAAAATGTAACCGGTACCGTAAACACCAAAAAGCAATCTAAAGCCAACAAAATCAATCCAAAGAAAAGCAAATCGACTGAAAATCGGCCAATGGATAAAGCTAACATGGGCACAATTCATCAAGGTAAGCTTCACCAGTGAAGCTGGTTATCTGGCTAATTTTTTTACGGAAGCTTTTGTGTAATTAGGAAATCCTTTTTCGTTATGTACACAGACTTACTGAATTTACTTGGTATTTGCCAAAAGAATTAAATATCTTAGATTAGATTCTATGTTCAACTATGAGTGTGCTTTCTTATAACTTAAGGTCTCTTCACGTCTAGACACAACAGACCTAATACAACTTTTAAAAGTTTTAGAATACTTGTCTTTAAAAAATCCACTTTCCACAAATCTCTCACAGAGAATAATCCTGAATACTGTTCATATTTACTAGTTTAGTAAACATTTCTAAGCATTAAAATTAAACTGTCGGTTTGACAGACGAGGTAGTCTTATCATCTGAATGCATGATAAATATTTAAACAAAGAAAAATGACTACAATATGTTGAAAATAATTAAAAAAATTAATATTTTGTTCAAAATCAAATTCACCTTTCAAATGATGATAGTTAGGATATTAGGCAGTTAACATTTAATGAAAATATACCCCTAACTCAGGTCTCATATGGTCAAGAAATGAAAATTTCGCAATTGCAAAAACCTCATTACCCGACATGAGACAGAGGGTACTAAGAGTGTTTGAGCCTATTTACATCAAGCTGAGCTGCATTTCTTGCGATCCTATGCCTTACAATGTATATACCATAAGCTATATTGCTATACAGAACTGAAAGCTTCCAATGAGACCAGAGGTTCGTTGTGAACATTGTGAATAGCAACAGATTACATTGGCAAGTATTGCTAATAGCTTATTTACAAATTTGTTTAGCAGGATGACCGATTTCATTGATACTAGTGGTTGTCTTGCAATATTCTCGAAGGTCACTGTCATTGGGGTGCTGCTGTATTATAATCATGAGTTTGCAAGTCATGTAAGCGGGATTGGTCAAATTGACCTATTCATGCTGTGAATGTTGACTGATGCGATTATGTATACGAAATATATCACCATATATCTACTAGTGTATATTTAAATGGTGTGAATGGTACACCAAGGTGTCAGGTTCATGTGTAATTGCGCGACGAAATTAAGCCGAACTGTGTCACGTTGAGATGTAAACATGTGGGCAGTGTCTCATTCTACTGAAAACCAATATAAAATTACCCTTGAGGATTAATATGTATAATTGTGCAAAATATTGACAAGTATGTGATAAGAATTATTTGTGAAACTGTAATCCTTCACAGTAATTAATCGTTTCACTGCAAAAAATGTCTAGTTGTAAACAAATACTACTTTAATATTAGTTATTTAAATGACTTCAAACATTAGTGAATTTAAAATGACAAATAAAATTAATTGAAGTATAGTTTTTTGTGAACTCTTTGATAAATTGTATAATTTTAAAACACAGATTATTATTTTAATTTTATCAAAAAACTTGTTTGCCTTTTTTTTCTTACAAAGATAATTTGACAAATTTAAATGAAGAATTAAAAAATGACACATTGAATAAGAAACATTTTCATTTGATGCAGAAAAAAGAAAATCAACTTTTATTCGATTTCAAATGTAAGTTGGTTTGCATTGACATTATTATTATTATTATTATTATTATTATTATGTGATTGAGATAAAATGTTTAAAGCACTGAATACTATTGGGGAAAAAGATGTGACGTGTGAAGTTCAACCCCGCTGGGTGTAGGCAGTAACTACCTAAGATAAATTGGTTGAGGTCGCGCTAAATCTATAGATTGATCAGAGTTAGACATGAACACCATAGAGGTCTAGAGGTCTTAGGTCCGAATCCTGCGAGTAGCATAGTCGTGGATGCGCACTGCTGATGAGTCCCATACCAGCACAAAATGTCCGTCTTTCAGTGCTTCCAAGTTTGTAATGGTGGTCTAACAATGATTGATTGATGATTTCACTGTGTAACAAACACTAATCTCCCTAAGTCTAGTTGAAAATCATGATGTTATTGGATGAATGCTTTCAAAAACATGTACTGTGATGATATTAGCCTCTAAAACATACTCACTATCGATTTCAAACATACACCAATGTTACTAGAATTACTGAAATCATGAATCAGTCATTGTTAGACCACCACTAGAAACATGGAAGCAGTGTATGGCGTTTCGTTCTGTTCTGGAACTCATCAACAGTGCGCATCAACGACTCTTTCTACTCTCAGGGTTCGAACCTAGGACCTTCAGGCTAACTCTTGGGATTACTTGCTACGTACGATAGTCATCTCGGGCTAGTTTATACATTCCTAGTTTATTAAGGTTTTGAAACGAAATATTACAATCCAAACTATGTTGATGTGTGATATACAAAATTAGATACTGATGTCTAATATTCCTATAAAATCACTCAATCGGTAACTGTCGTGAATAAATGAAGTAAGAATGAAAAAGTTACGTTGAAGATATATATATATATACATATATATATATATATATATATATATATATATATATATATATATATATATATATTGTTCACGCAGCTAGACATGAGAATACAAAGCGTAAAAGCAAAGATGAGTGAAGTGGAGAAGGCAAGTGAGCCAACTCAATGAAATGAGGCAAGATTAAGTAATACTAATCAGACAATAATAGGATAGCTATGAAGTGATCAAAGTAAGCATGCACAAATGCACTCCGATAACGACAATCAAGATACAAGCGAATAGTCGACAAACTCAAAAGACGTGTGAGCGATTCGGGAAGAATAGATTAATTAATTTGTTCAAAAGCTGTGATAAGCTCTAGGTGCTCGAATTATTTGTACACTCTGCAACCGCTTCAATATACTTTTACTGTTCATTCATTTCCCGTTTGACGAGAAATAAACATTTCCCCTTCATGAATTTCGCTACTGTTTATCATTACATATATCAAACAAACTTTGACAGCACTTTAACAATACTGTATCCAATAAACCTAATGTGAACTGAACACTTACTCTATTCAAAAGTATACATTTCAAGTTAAAAGATATACTTGTTTCATGAATGTCTGATAAGATACAGAGAGATTTTCACACATAATTTTAAACTGACATTACTTAGTGGTAATTCAGTTGTAAATATCTAGATTTTGGATGCACAAGATGAAACGGGATCTGGTCTACCATTTTGGAGCACCCATTTTTCAACTTTCTTAATGAATGACTTACACTTACTTTTATATCACTTTTACACCTAGTCCCCGTCAGCTAAGTGAACAAAACATTTTTACTGAAATATTTTCTACTGACTAAACAGTAAACAATAATCATGTTTGTGGCATGTTAACTCCATACGTTATAATTTAACAATTTATGATTGGTTACGATAAAGTGAATTATATTTCATATTTCTATCTTATACTATTCTCTTTATAGTGACTCGACCTGAATTGGTACTCAGTTTAATTGGGATATTGGCTGTTTCATTGATCATGAATATTATTTTAATAGTTCGATGTATTTTATTGAAAAGTTATCTAGGTAAATCTGTTTTATACTAGTTCATTTATCAAAAATTGCATTTACTTAAAATGTGTGTACTGATATGCCTATAAAATTCATTCCGACTTTATGAAACAAATGTATTTTATGGTATACTACACTTTTGAATGAAATATTATTCACAATTTAACGTTATACATTATTTCGCTTCCAGATAAAAACCAAACAATCTTTACGGCAACATCGTTTCTCTTCACTGTAATACCTAAAGACAGATTAATCTATTTGCCAACAAAAATGATATTTCTAAAATCAATTGTACCATATAGACTTCTAAAATATGAAATGTACATTTAAACTAGAATTCCATGTTACCTTTTCAATAAATACTTAAATATTGAACATTGAAACATATAATTAAAACCATACTAAGTTGATTATTTAAAGTGTAATCTGATTCAGCGAAATGAATCTTCTTTCTAAATTCAAATAAATATGGAAAGATTTGTTTCAGGTGCACAAAAAAATGGTGCTTACGTAAAACACAATTTATTAGTCAAATAAATATATGAGATCAATTTTCAATGAGTGAATGTTCAGCAGTCATCTAGTTATCAATTATACATTTCAAAAATGAATGTAGCTTAACATAGTGATTTTTTATTGAACAAACAAAATAACTTTGGATTTCTAGAATGTATGAACTGTACATAGTTTATATAGTAACTAGCTATAAATTGCTGCCTTTAGTAAAACTCAAACCCTATCTGTCTGTCTATCATTGAAATACTAGAGTAATAAGCTGAGGTCGCCATTAACCTCTTAAGTGGGCACGATCAGTGTTATTGTATCCTAGTTCTTTGTTATTGTATCTGACTATTGACTGCTGAATAATGTTTTAATTTGATGTTAACAGAATCATGTGATATGTTGGCGATATACATTTCAAACAAGCTGATCATAAATATACTTTTTAAGACAATGATATTTGAAAAATTTGTAGGTCAACACTAGACAAATTAAAAGGTAAGGTGGAACAAATTACAATGAAGTACACATTGTGAAAATCCCACTGGATAAGAAATCAGTATTACCAAAGTAAATTCAGGGTAAGAACAAGTTGGTTTTTAGTTTCCGTTTGACCAAGGCTTCCGTGAACTTCAGTATACGCCCTTGAACATTTTTGGTGTGGAACACTAAATAAGTTGACTTAGTATTAACCTTATGGTCCCTTTCAACTAAACATTTCATAATTTAAGAAGATATTTATCTATCCTGTGATGGTATTTTACCATTCAATCACCTTTTGCTTGTAGTTCACACATACTGTTTATAACATTTATACGTGTAACTAGAGTGTTTTTGGAATAGTATTCCTCAAATATTCGAGGACACCATAATCTGATAACCTGTGTCTTGTCATTTCAATTTTAAAGGTACTCGATTAGAAGTAACAATTTTACATATTATTTACTATTGAAAAATGTTTCTAGTTTAATTTAAACAAAAACTAACTGATTCATCTTAAATATTTTTCAGATAATACAAAACATGGAAAAATAAGCTCACATTTAAAGTGTTTACTATGTTTACAATCGAAATCCAATCACATTGTCTCAACCTCGATGAATAAATCATTTCAACAATCAAATCATCAACCAGTACTGATGACTTCTTCGCATGTTGGACAATTATTTGAGCCAAATACCACTTTTATGAATTATTCTACACAGATTGATGATAGTCTGACAGAATCCGTGCTACTTTATAGCAATAAACCAGAAAATTGTACACATAATGGAAATCATCATTTATTAACTGTTAATTGTAGTAATAGTATTGTTTTACCAAATCAACCAAATCAAACAACTACTTTATCCACACAAGCAACTAATGTTTCCTATGTATCAACAACTCCAACTTTTCAACATCAGCTAGTTAATAGTGCTTCTACTATTCATCCACATGACTTATTAAGATTTCGTGGATGGAATGGTCAAACTAGTTCTGGATTCTCTTTGGAATCAGATCCAACCTCGACGAAACGAACAAATTTGTTTCATTCACAATCAGTTAATTATTCGAAACAATCAAATCATCATCCTCTACTGTCTGAATGTTGTTTTCAAAATGGGAGTATCAATGTTCCTGGTCAAAATGGTAGTTTGAATGGATCATTATTATACTCGAATGATTCAACAAGTTTGACAGATACTACCAATGGAAATGGAGTAATTATTCCCAATCATGTTATTGTATCACAGAATCCTTATTCAGCTTATCGAATGCAATATATTTGTGCAGGTGAACAGTCTGATAAATCAACAAGGAAATTTGATTTGCAACAGCAATCGAAACTGCATCAAAAATTTATCTCTACAAATGATCATGCAAACAGCATGTATCAACGTATTCCTTCAGAATTTGCTAGTCAATTGGAATCTCGACCTCGTATCAACACTGAACAGTCAAATTCTGATGATATTGAAAATGATGAAACTTGTAATTTAATTACTGAGAAACCTATGAATCAGGATTTACATAATTATGCATTTAGAAATAGTTCGACCATTGACTCTCTATCACATGGCACTAACAATTCAACAAATCAATTGGAGGCTAGTTTAACACTACACCCAAATGCATTACCTTCATGTCTTACACCTTTAGTGGTTCGTTTCCCATCTGGTGAGTCTGGTTTTTTATTTTGTCCAACACGTGCAACTAGTGAAAATTATCAATCTGAAAGTTTATCTCGTCAGTCAAATCGTTTATCAATGACCACTAATCATACTTTCAAGCCGATAAGTAAAGACAAGAGAGAAAATAATCAAATGTTAAGTTCAGATATAAAAATGAATTCGGACTGTTTTCAAACAAACTTAGAACTAGTTAAATTTGACAATTTAACTAAATCAAGTCGAACATCACATGATTCTGAGAATAGTTCAAATGTTCTATTTCAACTTGACAAATCACAACATTCATTTCCTCGGAATAATAATGAGTTCATTTCAACTCATATAGTTGAAAACTATCAAAACCATGAAGAATTCAAAAATACCACAATAAATAACTCAGATTTTTCATCTGTTCATTGTGAACCATTGTCAAAATCTTCATTTAATTACTGTATGAATAACACAGGCGCTGGGGATATGGAAATGGACAAAGTACAAACACCGCTTCGTCAAAGTATACCACAAAACTGTGAATTCACTCAGTTTAAGGATAGTTCTAATGACGCATTATTACACAAAGAGAATGTTGTTCAGGAATTAAATATCAATTCTACCATTTATCCGGTCCGTTAATCCATCATATCTAGTGTACATTGTATATTCTCTGATTATTAATTCAGTAATTGACATGTAACTTTAATTATTATTATTATTATTGTTATTATTATTATTATGACAGATATGCTACTTTAGAAAAGCTTCAATAACTTGAATGTACCCAGAAATTCTAATTCATATAAATACTTTATAACGATTTATTAAAATGTCGATATATATTGTTGTTTTTTTTGGGAGGGACGTCAAACAAAATTAATTTCTGAATTTCATACTTTGTTATAACTTTAATCAAAATAAATTATTTGTTTTCTAATGAAAAAGCATTGTCTGTTTTTAGTAAGGGCCTTTTGGTTATTTCTGGATTGCTTTGAAATTGTTCGGACTACTGAGTAGGCATCCAACGGTATTAATATATAACTCCAAGCCATGATATTTTGCTACCACACTCCTTTGTCCTCAGCGAGTAGTTGGCTCACACCCGAGACGGTTTAATTCCACTGGTCAGGTCGTTTCCATGGAACTCAGGAAATTCCCGCTCACAAATAATCAACAATGAGCACATAATACTTTTCTGTATGACGTTTTGAAGATTGTTGGATTTCATTGAAATTACGTATCGATCTAAGTTGGATACCTAGGGGTCACATACTAGGACGAAACGCCATTCGATGTAACCAGGTTTTTAGTGCGGGTCTAACTTAGATTGTTTCATGGTTTCAGTGATATCGATCGTTACTTAGCATGTAAAATGATCACTTCAAACTTCAAGATAACGGAAAGACTTTGATCGAAAGTGGAATAATGCGCACAAAACACATTCAGATTTTGAAACAACTACGATACATTACTCTTGTGTAATTGTGTAAAGGTTGTTCCTACAATGACAGGGAATTTTTTAAACAGGATTCGTACAGTACAGAAATCTCATCAGCTATAGTAACTATGATAATGTTCGCAACAGTCAGAAATATTTTTTGAAAACAAGATTTTTGAACATTATCACACAAAGATTGTTTCATAATTTTTACTAAAATTCATACTGTTAGAAGTGTACATATGTTACTACTACTGATAGGCTTTCTGTCACTAAATGTATCATCATTACAAACTGAATAATATTTGTATATTGAATTTCCTTCTCAAAAGATTTGGAATAAAACACATTTAAATAAAACTCATCTTATTGTTGTCAGTTTATAAAAATCACTTCTAATGATAACAGATAGCCAAATAATCGATACGTCTACGCCCGAATGACTACACTTTAATCAAAATGCTTACAGTTTATAATCAATGACTTTTCCACAATTTCACTAGCGAATTCAGAGAAGCATGAATATTTACATCATAATTTCTTAATTCATTCCGATTATAGCGTCCAAAATTAAGATTGAGAAATACAGTACAACGCTTCACTCAATCAGAATTGATGTGAGGCATATATGGGAGCCAATTATTTTTAACTACAAATCTACATATCAGAAATGTGTAATATCAGATTCAAACTCAGAGATTAAAAGATTGAATACATTACTAATAATATAATCATATATCAACTTGTGATTTATTAATAGATGAGTTGTCAAGATTCTTTTGGAAAATGATGACGTTATTTATGATACTGTATGTGCGTCAAATTTTAATGTAGACTGATTGGATTACGAAATGTGACTCTATTTTAACTGATACCTAAATATCTCGAGTTCAAACCATTTTAGGAGCATGAGTGTCCGATAAGTTTCATCAAAGGACGAAACAGTTATTCAGTACTGACTTGTTTTCAACGACACTGTAAACAACATAAGTCATTGATGGTTATTATCTACAAATCAATCTTCAGATTACTTAACTGTGACTTCTTGATACATAGTATTATTCTTATATTGTGTTAAACGTCCCTCTAAACTATAATCACCTTTCATTGATGAGATGTTGTACGCTAAATGTTCAATACAACTTGCAATGGAAGAATACTACATTGAGTTCGGTAATTAGACTGCCTATATATCAAAAGAAACGATGAACAATTAACACGTGTTAAATAGGGACATATATTTCCTTGAATAACAATGTCTGTCTTATAAAATGTTCTGCTGTTGAATTTTCTACATACTTTGCTTAAATTTGTAACCAAAGACGATTGAGAAATACAGTACAACGCTTTACTCAATCTAAACTGATGTGAGGCACATCGGTGAGTTTGGGAAGAAATACAACAGTGTATTAACAGACTGAAGTTCTCAACTTGTAACTGATAGAATATTTTGTCTTTCTTCTACTAGCTCAACACAATCTCATATATATTTACATACCAATGACCTCTCTGAAAATCTGTTACTTCTATCACATTGATTTACTGAGACTATCACATTCAACATATTCAGTTATGTTGATCACGGGTTATTATCCAATAACAGATGAGTTAATGTGAGATGTGAAATGATTTTGTGAAATCAGGTTTCAAGGCGAATAATTCTATTCATGTTAATTTTACACTATGATTGGTTGACAGTATAACATGATTAAGTTTGTTTGATGATGGATTTCTACTGATATAATTTTAGAATAGTTTAAGAAACTTACTCATATACCAGCCAAACTGTTGCCCATAGTTCAGAATCCTGGTCAGAATGGCAAGATAACTGTATTTTATTGCTTGGACATGAGAGTTGTCCATTCAGCTACAACATAGAACATCGTTCATATGTACATCAGTTCAAGTTGCCATAGTACATTAACACACAGAGATCGAATTGTCCATTCAAATCCCGTATTAGTAAAGGTAGTTGGAGTATAAGCGATAAGCAAGTAGATTAATGATCGAATATATCATTCGAGAGGTATATCCCAGAAAAAATCGATTTGAATGAAAGAGGTGCAGAAAGATGTTCATGAAGAATTCTAGAATTAGAATTCGAGAGAACACTATGAATGGATGCATCTGAGCCGTTGCAAACAATTTCTAACTATTGGTTACTGTCGTCTCGCGGACCCCATCCAGGTAGTCTACACATATTAACATGGCTCACTCCAGTTGTCAGTTACTTTATAGATTTGTGCCATGTTTTGGTTTAGCCACGAGTAGCTTTCTTCCAGCCTACGCCTACATCAAACAGCATAACTCGACAAGGCAGTCGTGTCCTAACCATCTCACCTGTCTTGAGAACAAACGTTTGTAGAATGGACCTTAACGTTCTAAGTTGGATAGCAGATGAGATAATGAATGTTAAATTTTAAGACGTTACCTAACAAGATAAGGCATCTATTCAAAACTTTCTGATTTTCAATGATTGCCTAACTACCATCATTATTTCGTGAGATGAACTATAAATTTGAACGAACTGCAACAACCACCTACAAAAATCATTAAAAATAATTATCTATATTTCCTGCTATGTCAAAAGCAAATACTTGATGTTTAAAAAAAAAACCACAATAGATTTGCTTCAACTAGTACAGTTTTATAATTGTTCAATTTGTAATAAGTTAGTGTGAAACAACGAAGAAAAAAAGGAATAATAAAACTGGATTTTTTCATTTGACCATCTGCGGTATTATAGATAATCAATAATAGATTAGAACAAATGAAATTCTATGCTGACAGACAATAAATGCATGATTTCAAATTCTTTAAGCCAAAATTTCGTTTATTCTAGAGTAAATACAATGGTGGTTAATTCAAATATATATTATATACATTCATGTTCATATATCTATCATACAAGTTAAATGCTAATGAGTCCCATACCAGGACGAAACGGCCGTCCAGTGCTTCCAGGTTTCTAATGGTGGTCTAACAATAATTGATTGATGATTTCAAATGTGTAAAAACACAAACCTCCAAAACTCTGCCCCCAAAAAATGCTAATATGTTAGATAATTACCAAAAACTGTAAGATCATAAAACTTTAAAAAACATATTAAATTTTTATTAATTAGACAGATCATTTTAAACTATTACATGAACTATTTGAAGTTGCATATTTATCAATTATTCAAAAGCATATAAATAATCTTAATTCTTAAATGATTTATTATTATGACCTTATTTAATGTTATGTAACAACATTATCTCTGATTTTATTGTATTACGAGGTCGCGAAGATGAGTAAGTTACACATTTAAAATTTAATGGTGGTCTAATATTGATCGATTCATGATTTCAAATGTGTAACTTAACAGTATTCACAACCCCGTAATGCTATTTTACCTGGGCTCACTAGTGACTAGCTTCGTGAGGAATCTTATCCGAGTTCTAGTGGGAAGTCGTGACCAGTGAAGTTCAACCTGTTCAAGTGTAGACAGTAACTATTGAAGACAGGGTATGAGGTTACGCAAGACCTTGAATCGGTCAAAGTTAGACATTAACACCGTTGAATGCAGGCTCAGTGGTCCAGTGGTTAGGCGTTCGCTCACAAGACCAAAGGTCGTGGGTTCGAATCCTGTGAGGTGCAGGAGTCGTCAATGCGGACTGCTGGTGAGTCCCTTACCAGGACGAAACGTCAGTTCGGCGCTTACAGGTTCCTAACGGTGGTCTAACAATGATTGATTGATGATTTCAAATGTGGAAATACTTGTATTTTTAGCACTGTGTTGTAGAAACCGATCAATGCTAGGCTAGCATTAAAAACCTTATTTTATTGTTTAGTTATATCGCTTCATGTATATGTCTACACATAGATAATGTGAACTGATCAATGAAATAGAATGTTTTGATAGAACAATGAGAAGACGTAAATGATCTGAAAAATGTTGTGATGTATTTGCGCCAAGGCATTTCGAACAATCTGGTCACACATATATACACCTGTCAAGGCATTTTATATGAAGAATAAAAAAAGGTAAATTAAAATAGACAAAAGGTGATAAGTGTAAATGACGGAGAGAGAAAATTAACGTAATATGGAAAGATGTGTGCTCAATAATGGTTTGTTTTGCACAAAAACAGCTGTTTTCAATGATCACTTTATCATTCTCCTCTGTAAGATAAAATGATGTAAACAATTTTTTTTTCATACAGAATCAGGAAGGAATTTTGATATTAACTGACTTCCACGACAGTTTGGCAACCTTAATGGACAATCGTTCCATATCGATGCTACAGTGACCAGTTC